GAGAGTGTGGGGGGGGGCGGTGGGGTGGGGGGGGGGGGGGGGGGGGGCCCGGGGCCCCCCCGACCCCCCCCCCCCCCCCAGCTACGCCCCTGAATCGTGGCGCGAGCAGGCGAGAACGTGGTGGGCCTCATATTTTAACTTGAAAACCGCTTGTTTATAATATGTGTATTTTTTCTTTCGGACGCGTGCCTAAAGAAACGCGCAGGGTTTTTTGGATTCGTGCCTCCGTGCGTTTCTTAAGGTACGGTCCGGAAAAAAGGCTTCGGGCAAGCGATTTTCCTGTGAAGATGAGGATAAAGAACCCATTTTAGGAATTTTCTTTTTTTTCATTTGTTTGTAACGAACCCAAAAACCTACAATTATTAATCTATTCTTGATTCCCTCAAATACGAAGCGTTGCACTTGTTCACGCAATATGAGTGATTACCGTGACGTCATAATAGTAAGTCCCGGCCAATATCCGGGGACTTTTCTGATGAAATACCGCAGGCTGATGGTGTCATATGAGCCGAAATAATATCAACAAAGAAGGTGACACGAACCCAGTAAACGAAATGGCGACTTAGCGCGAATATCCTTTGGTTCCTGATGATTTCCAACAGAGAAATTTCTTCCTTATCAGAACCTTTAACTTTTAAATGGAATCTTTTATACATCTGTTCGAAACGGCAGCCGGATCCGGGGCCGAAACTTCCCGGGCGTCGATGCCCGAAAGTTTACCTCCCGAGGTTGGTGATCCTAAGCTTTGCAGGTTTAGTTTCTGTTAATAAGAAGTTTTCAATTTGTTTGTCTGTAATTTATCTTGTCATGAACAGGTTGAAGAAGGAAATGTGGAATACAAGGTAAGTTGATCGCTATTTTGTTTTCTTCACGAAGTAAATATTGCAGATTCAGCGCTGTAAGTTAAGCTTACTTTTATCCTTTGCGCGGGAAAAAAAATTCAAATAAAATAAATGAGCTCAATCGATCGACATTTACACCTATCTAACGGCTAAAACTACCGTTATGTTTTCAATGAAAATGTTTCATGTAACAGATTTTTTGTACGTATTTGCTTTAAAATAGCTTAAGCTGGAAACTCATCAAGTAAAGTAACTGGTACAGATCAACTCCCACCAGTTTCCCAGGGGATTGATTTCAAATGCAAAACTCTGTCGCTTTATTCACCGGACACTCAGAGCATAAGTTTTACAAACTATTTTATTGGTTATCGGCGTTAATTAATGCAAATACCATTGTTTCTATGATTTACAGAGCTTACAGATGTACGCCCTTAAGATTTCAAGCTTTTTATAGTGGTTATTTCCTGGGCACCCCTTCCCGTTATTCTAACACACCGACAAATATATATGTGGCTGGGAATCAAAGGCATTTTCAATGAAGACCTGTTCAAATACAATACAGTGTGTTTTAGGTTAAAGGTCAGAAACTCTGCAGAAACTAGATAAACTTCATAAACACTAGAATATTTTATCAATAAAATATTTTGATTAAACATTTTCTTTCACAAATCATAACAGCTGAAACTTGTGAATCCCTCTCCGTCTCGTCTGGAGCACTTGGTAACACAGATGAAATGGCGCCTTCAGGAAGGAGACGGGGAAGCAATTTATGAGATTGGTGTTGAAGACAATGGCATGTTTGTTGGTCTTACAAGAGAAGAGCTGGATTCATCTCTTAACACACTTAATGTCATGGCATCCAAGCTCGGTGCTCATACCACCTTGCTTCGACGTCATGTAGTGGAAAGCACGGGCAGTAGCTTTGCAAGGGAAGTAGCTGAGGTCTTTGTTCGGCGAGTGCCAGATGATCAGAAGGTATGCACAGCATGTAAAGCAAGTGGCAGGGCTGAAAATAACGGCCGGTCAACGGGCAATGTCCAGCCTGATCGCGGACTTGACCGGTCAAACTCCGGTCTTGCTGGTCATTTTGACCGGTCATTTTTGGATACAAACATTTTATTTTCCATTAAGTTGTCGCTTAATGCTCTATAACGCTGCAATGATTTCTTTTTGCTTTGGCGTTTTTTGCTGCTTTGCGCTAAACCCTTCTAAGAAAAAGAACACCACAGTAAATTAATTTCATGTCATAATGTTGTAATGAAACGCAACAAAGTCAATAACAAACTGAGTTGAAAAGTAACGCAACGTGGCAAGTCGTACTGTACTTTCTGCTTTGCTGTAATCAGTAATGTGACCTTCTTTGGGAATTCGAAGGAATTTAGGCAAATCGATCGCAATTCTCAACAGGTTTTCCTCTGTTTCTCCAGGAATAAATGTTAGCGCACAATTAATAAATTATTATTTCTTTTATGTCAAACGTGAATCTCGTTTGCAGACTTGATTCCAGAATGGTCTGATAAACATTTAAGCTAATCAAGAGGGAAGGTTGTCGTCTATCTCGGCGCTAGATTCTCGTTCTTGTAAACAACTTTATGCAAATTTCTGTTGACATTTGAGCCCTTCGCAATAAAATGTTGCGCGATGACCCAAATTTATTTATTGACTTCTTATGATAAACACGCTGTTTGTGGAACAAACTTCTCGCCAATGCAAATCAACTTCTTTGCCAAAAATATTAGCGACAATTCTTTGAGGAGGTGACTTTCGATCACGTGCCAGGCAAGGAAAAAGATCAAGTTCCACCGATGTTCATTTCGGAACATCAACGTAAAACAAGCGTACATGCAGATTTTATAAAATAACCCAATTAACCCAATCCGCGAAAACCGCGGAAAGGAACTCTACAACATGCAAATGCATTTTTCACCAACTTGCTGTCAAAAATGTGAACGTCAATCAGGGTGCAAAGAAAATCTTTTTTACAGTTTGCAATTCACACAAGCTGAAGTTAGCATTTACCAGCCCAGACATCATTTCAACTAGCCCCAAAAGCTTTTTGATGAGCAGAATTTATTTCACAGTTCTTCTGTTATTCAAATTCCTCAAAAAACATCACTTGCCCGTCAGGCAAGTTAAGAACAGAATTCACTAACCCAATAGCAAAATCCACTAGCCCTGGGCTATCGGACACTTCTTTCTTTACACACTGGTCAATGTATTAATAACGATCTATTGCCAGCATAACTGGATATTCCTTAGGCAAAAAAAAATTATTAGTATTCATTATTTGACCGGCCAGAATCGGGGTTTGTCCAGGCTAAAAAATGTTTGGCTGGTCATCATGACCGGCAGCCTGCTGTCCGTTATCTTCAGCTCTGAGTAGTGCCTGATAGCCTGGGGCTAGTGGATTTTGCTGTTGGGCTTATTGAAGGTTTTTTGGTAATTCAAATTATGGAAGAACTGTAATCATTCCTGCTCATCAAAAAATTTTTTTGGCCAGTTGAATCAACTTTTAGGCTAGTACATGCTAGCTACAGCTTGCACAAATGGCAAGCTGTAAAACTTACTTTCTTTGCACCCTGTATGCAATATTTTGTTGCAAATGGATACTGATTCATTGAAAGACGGGATCTATTGGATTAGAATATTGTTGTTACCTGTGCTTTTTTAGCCTGGTTTCCATGTAGTTGTCTAGATTGTATTGGCTGCCAACATTTATGAGGGACAGTTGGGATGATCAAGACATTTCAGACGATTACATCAAACCCAGCTTATAAATCAGTGCTGAAAAGTGGGAGGATTTAGAAAATTTTTGCCTTTTGCAGTAATTTCTTATTACATAAAAACATTGATTCTGTACAGTTGATTGCAAAAAAGAATTATGTAATATCAAAACTCCTATTACTTTGTCTTTGTTCACTTTTCAGTCTGTTTCAAAGATCTTAGTAATTTTTGCAGATTTCAGTGGTTTGATACTCTTTTTGTAGTTTATTGACATACGACTCGCGGTGTTGGGAAACGTTGATGCTGGGAAAAGTACCCTGCTGGGTGTCTTAACACATGATGAGTTAGACAATGGCCGTGGACGAGCACGGTTGAACCTTTTTCGACACCTTCATGAGATTCAAAGTGGGAGAACGTCAAGTATTAGTCATGAAATACTAGGATTCAATAGTAAAGGAGAGGTACAATGAAATACTGTAGTACTTAACTTTCCCAAACTCCTTGTATGAGAAGGGGCCCAATCATTTGTCTGGACAAACTTTCAGGTTGCCAGGCATTTTGACGGACTTGCAAGTAGGTGGCCAGAAAAAAAATGCTTCAAGCCATTGTGTCTCAAGAGGACAAGCATCTATTTTCAGTTCATGTGTTTGCTCTTTAGGCTAACACATTCAAGTTATTATAGTGTTATTTTTAACATTTTGAACTGGCAGAAGAGAGACAAGACCAAGCTAAAATTTCTTTGGACAGTCAACATGACTGGCAGCAGTCCCTAATTTATTTTAATGGAGCCCTGGTTACAAATCTTAATTTCCGTATTGATTTTTACCTGAATTTTTGAAAAAAGTATTAAATAATGAGAATTTTCACCCTTTTTGTATTTACTTAGGTTATAAACTACAGTGAATCGCGCACTGCAGAAGACATTTGTGAGCAGTCGTCCAAACTCATTACATTTATAGACCTTGCTGGACATCACAAATATTTAAGAACAACAATATTTGGTCTGACGGGTCATTCCCCAGATTTTGCTATGCTGGTCATTGCTGGAAACGCTGGTGTAGGTGCGTTTTAACCCAGCATTTTGCTCAAATATAAGCTTACAGCAGAGTTACTGTTTAGTATTGTACTTAACATTTATAGTGTGTGAAGTCACTTTGTTGCACATTCCCGGTAGCTGGTGTCTCCCCCTGTCTTGATGAATAGTTGGTTGCATGATTTTGTCACATGTAGATTATCACATTTATTCCTCTCCTATGTCAGTCTGGTTCCCTGTCTGGAAATCATTCATTTTTGGACAGGAACTGGTGACCCCAGTACTTCCAAAAAAGAAGTTTTACAAGTTCTGTTGCAAGCTTTAATTTGTGCAGTTTTCTAATAATAAGAAAATTAAAAAATATATATTTAAATTCTTTTAAATCTCCCATAAATTATCAATAATCACAGATGCATAGATACATTTAAGTACAGTATGTGTGCAAAAAAAAGTTTTTTTAAAAGTTAATTTAACTTTTTGTCTTAATTGATAATTTTAAAATGATTCTCTTACTACACTGTGCAATCAACTATTATTATGTTTCCTTGCAGTTATTAATATTTTGCAATGTTGAAAATTATGTTTAGTTGGAACTACAAAAGAACATCTGGGTTTAGCCATGGCGCTCAAGGTTCCTACCTTAGTGATCGTAAACAAAACTGACATCTGTTTACCAACAATGGTGGGACACACCCTAAAAGTTCTTGATCGACTTTTAAAATCTCCTGGCTGTAAAAAAGTACCCGTTGTTGTTGAAACTGAAGATGATGTTATAGTTGCTGCAACAAACTTCATTTCAAATCAGTAAGTTACTTTACTTAACCGCTGTATAATTCCAGGAACATTTACCTATTTAATCATTAGCAAGTGGTCCCTGATGTTGTGCTACGCATATAAATTATAAAAATGTTCCACCAGAAAATTTTGAAATTTTGAAGCAGTGATGAGCTATAACACTTGAGTTTTCAACCAAAATACAGTACATTTCAGTTTTTCACTATGATACCCAATGTAGCTTGGTTGTTGTTGCAGAAAGTATTGTTGGTAAGCCGTTGTGCTTAGCAGTAGTATTTGTTCATTCCCTTCTCAATACTCTTGTACATTGGTTATTCAATTATTGCACCATACATAACCCCAAAAGTGCTATGACCTTATATTGCCTGTGAAAAAGGTTGTACTACAAGTAATAAGTCAATGTATATATTCTTTTCTTTAGGGTGACACCAGTTTTTACGGTCTCTTGTGTAACTGGCGAGAATCTTAATCTCATAAAAAAGTTTCTGAATCTTGTACCTCCAGCGCGATCAGCCATGGATCAGGAGAAACTTGCACAGGAATTAACAGAGTATCAGGTGAGTTTCTCTCTAATCGTTTTGTAAACAAAAAAAACTTTACTTGCAATCTTCAAGGGTACATGTAGATGTCATTTGACAAGGCAAAAATATTTAATCTGTCTATTAAAGGTGCAAACTTGTTTGTGTTCTGCTTTCACTTACATTTGGCATATCAAATCCACATGAAGGGCTATTTTTTGGCAGTAGAGCCAGCCCTTAAGAAATATTTTTGCAAGCAACAAAGCCACCAGGAAAACAGTCAGTATAAAAAGGGGATTGCGGACTGGGTATAAAACATGGACTAGGTATAAAATGAGGACTAGAAACTATGGACTGATTATAAAACAATATGAAATGTGGACTGTGTATATAAGAACATCTTTAGAAAGGTAAAACTGAGAGAAGCGGATAGTTGACTAGCATAAAACAGTAGTCCCAGCTCCTTGCCTCGCACACAAACATTCCTTTGGTTGGTCGCGTAGTCTACTGTCCCCAACGTCAGCGTTGTGTGGAGAAGGAAAGCATACTGCAAGGGCAAGGAAGGTTATGCCGCTGCTCAAGGCAACTGAAAACGAAACTCTGAATTTTATAAAAAGAAGGAGTTAGAGGAAAATTCAATTGAATTTTATAGTTTTAAGCCAATAGAAGATGTGAGATTGAGACGCACCAAATAAAAAATGGTATTAATTGGTGTCAGTGAGAGTAAAATTCTGCCACAATTCCATTTCAAAGCCTAGGGGATATGAGGAAATGAAGAACCCAGATGAGAAGGTCAACAATATAGGGGCATTATGCAATGCAAGAAAGCTGTATTTAGGGGGAAGGGGTTACTCACCTATACGTGAATAATAACTGAAATATATCATCCAACGTTATATTCTAAGCCATGATGATATGATTTACACCTATGTTAACATGTACATCGCCTCTCAGTGACCCCTGTCATGGGTGTTAGAGACCAAGACCAGGTCTAAAAGTGGCTGTAGAGAAAGCATTTTGGTCAGGCTCAGGATTTGGAGAACTGGGCGGCACACATCCACCAAAATTTCTAGGAGTATTTATAACTTAAACTCAAGTGTTGTGCTATTTAGCGATCTTTTGATCTTATTTTACCTTAACTAGAACCAACTAGCACAGTTTTTACAAACATAGTAGGCAGTCTGCATTTTATACCCAGTCTACAGTCCGTATTAGTTTTATACTAACCAACAAGGAAAAATTCCTACCTGACACATCCCCATTGTTTAATTGCATTCTATTTTATTTACCATTTCCCTCATTTTGTTTTTTTTTTCCCGTTTTGACCAAAGTAATGCCCCTGAGACTTTGGCACAAATTGGTTTTACATGGTAGAGCTTTGTTTATTCAAGACCACAAGTTCTGTTGATTAGGCAGACTTTTTCCATGATAGTTTGGACAGTAAGGGAGCACAGAGATTAGTTTGACGTTTGTAATACGTGGTATGTTGTGTTTGTTACTAGGTGGACAAGATATTTAATGTTCCTGGTACTGGACCTGTAGTTGGTGGAACTTTAGAAAGGTGAAAACAGACAAGGCAGCCTGTCCTACTGCTGTAATAGCCTAATGTTGTTTTTCCAACAAATAACAGTGCTTTTTTTACCTCTGTACCTGAGTCCCTGAAGCATAAAAATCCCCAAAGATGCGAAATAATTCATGGCATGCGTCCCGTAGGATGCAAAGAACAATAGGTTTATTTGGAGTTTTTTGGTAGAATATCCTATTTGTGTGATTTAACTGTCTGGTTACACACACTGTAAAGGCCCAAGTATTTTCAATTTTTTGAACTGGGACTCATTGGTTATGGATAGGGTCTCAGGATTTTTCACAAGATGAGTCCCAGGACTCACCATACAACTGTAATTATTTGTAACAAAATCACTTCAAATAAACTGGAGTACTCTAAAAAAATACTTGTCTAATTATAAGGCTTACTTTTCTTGGAGTGGTAAAGAAAAATCAAACAATACATAGCTGTTAGCAGGAAATCGATCACCCAAAGACTGGACTTGTTTTGTCTTGGGAATCAGTTTTACAGAAACCCAACTGTTTTGCTAACTCTTCCACCTATTTGGGAAAAATAATAGAGACTTGGACTACAAAAATACAGCAAACTATCACAGGATTTTGATTGAAAGTCTTCTAGTAGCAATTCATAGAGCATGAATTTAAATGTGGCTAAATATCATTCAGGCAAAGTTAAACTTGATCGAGTTGGCCAGCGGTCTTCTTCCACACCAGGACATAACCTACAAGGTGGCCCTTGGGGAATTGCAGGGCTCCTCGTGTGTTCTTTTGTTAGAGATGAATTGAACTGTTAATAATAATCACAGTTTTGTTAGTTATTGATATTGAATAAGACTTTGTAAAATATGTACAGTAACAAAGTTGCACTATTTTAAGTCCAGTCTGATTGTTTTCTTGTCAGGGGTGTGTTGCGTGAAGGTGATCAACTTCTCCTGGGTCCATCGCAGGACGGTTCCTTTCATCCAGTTACTGTGACATCTGTGAAGAGGAACCGTGCTGCCTGCCGTGTGGTGCGTGCAGGCCAGGCTGCTACTGTGGCAATCAGTGGAATGGATAGGAACTTGCTGAGACGAGTAAGTTTAATGAGTGAACTTCTAGGCTTTCTGTAAGATAAAAATATTTAATCTGTCTATTAAAGGTGCAAACTTGTTTGTGTTCTGCTTTCACTTACATTTGGCATATCAAATCCACATGAAGGGCTATTTTTTGGCAGTAGAGCCAGCCCTTAAGAAATATTTTTGCAAGCAACAAAGCCACCAGGAAAACAGTCAGTATAAAAAGGGGATTGCGGACTGGGTATAAAACATGGACTAGGTATAAAATGAGGACTAGAAACTATGGACTGATTATAAAACAATATGAAATGTGGACTGTGTATATAAGAACATCTTTAGAAAGGTAAAACTGAGAGAAGCGGATAGTTGACTAGCATAAAACAGTAGTCCCAGCTCCTTGCCTCGCACACAAACATTCCTTTGGTTGGTCGCGTAGTCTACTGTCCCCAACGTCAGCGTTGTGTGGAGAAGGAAAGCATACTGCAAGGGCAAGGAAGGTTATGCCGCTGCTCAAGGCAACTGAAAACGAAACTCTGAATTTTATAAAAAGAAGGAGTTAGAGGAAAATTCAATTGAATTTTATAGTTTTAAGCCAATAGAAGATGTGAGATTGAGACGCACCAAATAAAAAATGGTATTAATTGGTGTCAGTGAGAGTAAAATTCTGCCACAATTCCATTTCAAAGCCTAGGGGATATGAGGAAATGAAGAACCCAGATGAGAAGGTCAACAATATAGGGGCATTATGCAATGCAAGAAAGCTGTATTTAGGGGGAAGGGGTTACTCACCTATACGTGAATAATAACTGAAATATATCATCCAACGTTATATTCTAAGCCATGATGATATGATTTACACCTATGTTAACATGTACATCGCCTCTCAGTGACCCCTGTCATGGGTGTTAGAGACCAAGACCAGGTCTAAAAGTGGCTGTAGAGAAAGCATTTTGGTCAGGCTCAGGATTTGGAGAACTGGGCGGCACACATCCACCAAAATTTCTAGGAGTATTTATAACTTAAACTCAAGTGTTGTGCTATTTAGCGATCTTTTGATCTTATTTTACCTTAACTAGAACCAACTAGCACAGTTTTTACAAACATAGTCAGCAGTCTGCATTTTATACACAGTCTGCAGTCCGTATTATTTTTATACTGAGCAACAAGGAAAAATTCCTACCTGACACATCCCCATTGTTTAATTGCATTCTATTTTATTTAACATTTCCCTCATTTTGTTTTTTTTTTCCCTTTTTGACCAAAGTAATGCCCCTGAGACTTTGGCACTAATCGGTTTTACATGGTAGAGCTTTGTTTATGCAAGACCACAAGTTCTGTTGATTAGGCAGACTTTTTCCATGATAGTTTGTTGGGTCCACAGAGAACACAAGCTGCCCATTCCCCATCTCCTCCCCTGTCAATGAAAGACTTACAGTAAGGGAGCACAGAGATTAGTTTGACGTTTGTAATACCGGGTATGTTGTGTTTGTTACTAGGTGGACAAAATATTCAATGTTCCTGGTACTGGACCTGTAGTTGGTGGAACTTTAGAAAGGTGAAAACAGACAAGGCAGCCTGTCCTACTGCTGTAATAGCCTAATGTTGTTTTTCCAACAAACAACAGTGCTTTTTTTACCTCTGTACCTGAGTCCCTGAAGCATAAAAATCCCCAAAGATGCAAAATAATTCATGGCATGCGTCCGGTAGGATGCAAAGAACAATAGGTTTATTCGTAGATTTTTTGGTAGAATATCCTATTTGTGTGATTTAACTGTTTGGTTACACACACTGTAAAGGCCCAAGTATTTTCAATTTTTTGAACTGGGACTCATTGGTTATGGATAGGGACTCAGGATTTTTCACAAGATGAGTCCCAGGACTCACCATACAACTGGAACTATTTGTAACAAAATCACTTCAAATAAACTGGAGTACTCTAAAAAAATACTTGTCTAATTATTAGGCTTACTTTTCTTGGAGTGGTAAAGAAAAATCAAACAATACATAGCTGTTAGCAGGAAATCGATCACCCAAAGATTGGACTTGTTTTGTCTTGAGAATCAGTTTTACAGAAACCCAACTGTTTTGCTAACTCTTCCACCTCTTTGGGAAAAATAATAGAGACTTGGACTAAAAAATACAGCAAACTATCACAGGATTTTGATTGAAAGTCTTCTAGTAGCAATTCATAGAGCAGGAATTTAAATGGGGCTAAATATCATTCAGGCAAAGTTAAACTTGATCGAGTTGGCCAGCGGTCTTCTTCCACACCAGGCCATAACCTACAAGGTGGCCCTTGGGGAATTGCAGGGCTCCTCCTGTGTTCTTTTGTTAGAGATGAATTGAACTGTTAATAGTAATCACAGTTTTGTTAGTTATTGATATTGAATAAGACTTTGTAAAATATGTACAGTAACAAAGTTGCACTATTTTAAGTCCAGTCTGATTGTCTTCTTGTCAGGGGTGTGTTGCGTGAAGGTGATCAACTTCTCCTGGGTCCATTGCAGGACGGTTCCTTCCATCCAGTTACTGTGACATCCGTGAAGAGGAACCGTGCTGCCTGCCGTGTGGTGCGTGCAGGCCAGGCTGCTACTGTGGCAATCAGTGGAATGGATAGGAACTTGCTGAGACGAGTAAGTTTAATGAGTGAACTTCTAGGCTTTCTGTAAGAACCTGGCATTTGCAGGGCTCAAAAAGTGTCTTGTTGTGTCGTCTGGGACAAGTAGATTTTCTTTCATCCTCCAACTAAATCATTAGCTAAGGCAAGCAAGTAGTTGCCCCGGTTAAACAAAACGTGAGAAGTGCTTGCCCAAAGGTCAGACTTGAATTGAAGTTTTCTCTGAGCACTGATTTGAGGGGCTGCAGTCATAAAGGGGCATTTCAAATTTTAGGCCATTCTTTGGTTACCCAAAAAAAAATACTTGAGATTTTTGGTAAGTGAATGCAAGTGACAAGACCTTCTCAGAACGCTATTTGCTGCCTCTTTTGCCCTAAAAATCGCCTTGTGTAGCATGTCTGTGATTCTGTGTACAATAATAGTACTATTGTCTTGCAAAATTCAATTATTATATATTTTTTTTTCGGCAATAACTATTTTAATTTACTATAATTGTTTTGTTATGTTGGCTTTCGATGACGTGGATTTGTTTGTATTTATTACAGGGCATGGTTCTCGCAGACCCTGTTCAGAAGCCACGCCCATGCTATGGATTTTGGGCCGAGGTGTTTCTACTATTTCACACCACTTCGATAAGCAAACGTTTTCAAGCCACTGTCTATATTGGAAACGTTATTCAAACAGCAGTCATTGAGGAGATGAACAGGGTATAGTATATACAAATAATCCCAATCTCGCCTGCATAACAGGCGTTCCATTTTCGCGTTTTTTTAGCCGAGCGAAAATAACGCTTCTTTCACGTCGCCCGTGTCTCGCGCTCCATGCCTGCCTCTCGCTTGCCTTACACTGCAGTTCGCTTGAAAAAGTAGAAAATAACGCCTGTTACACAGGCTGATCCCGATCATTGGGTCAAGACGTTAAAGTAAAACATTGGAAAGAACTCAGTGTAACTCAAGCAGTGTATTGTGATAAGAAATTACGCTAAGTAGCTTTTATTTGAATAATCATACCGTACGATTTCATAAAAACTTAATAGCGATACTCGTGCTGACGTCTCCTATTAATATATATGTACGAATCAGAAGCCCATTGGTTCTTGTGTCGCTCGTTACAAATTTTAAAAATAACAAAAGCAATGTTTGTAAACAGTGATGTCTCCGATCAGCACGACTAATGGAAAATGCTGCTCATTAGCCTTTTTTAGCCTGCGATCGAATCGAGCGGAAAAAAAACGCGCGAGCGAGCGGCGAAGCCGGGGGGGGGGGAAGCTGTTTTTGTCCCACCCCTGCCACTCGCGTCTCCTTTCGCGTGCAGCTCTCGCGTGACTCCTCGGAGAGCTTGCTCGCGGGCTAGCCTTTTTTCGTAGTCACTCTAATAATTTTATTCAAAGGCTCGGTAGTTAGAATCAACTTGCACAGCATGATAAACAGCACCAAAGAAAAGTACTGCTCAGGAACTTTGTAATGCCGGGTTACATCTCATGATTTGATCCATAATCCATTCCAGAAACTATCAGGGGATTTGGCACAAGCTTTCGGCGCAACGATATCTGGGATTGTTCGGTTGGAGGAGCATTAGTTATTTTTGGTTGATGGTTGCCTTGAATACCATCCACCAATCATAAGTAACGCTTGTCCTCCCAAACTATCCTAGAAATCTTTGGGTAAGCTTGTATCCATTCTCCCTCGAGTTTTTGAAGTAGGGGTTGATCAACACTTATTTCCATTCGCCAAACTGACGTTGACAGATTTATGATTCGTACACAAAGTAAGGGTTAGGGTTAGGGTTGTTGCTATATATATTCAAATCAAACCACTCATGGTCAGCATATCCTCGGTGGTGTAGGGGTTAAAGTGATGCACTGCAGAGCCGAAGCTCCGAGATCGAATCCTACTCGTGCCATGTTGAATTTATTTTTCCTTAAAAATTGAAGAGACTTAGACTTTTATGAGCAGAAATTTCATGTAAGAAAAGTGAAATGTCTTGTGAGAGCCACTGAGAGGAAAATGTCAGTTTGGCGGATGGAAACAAGTGACGACCGTAGGGAATAGGCTCCTAGTGCCACGGGATACCCAGTCTTTAAACTGCTTATTGTTACGTTTCTGTTTTACTAGGATTCTCTGAGGACTGGTCAACGAGCAAAGGTTCGTTTCAAGTTCATGAAGCAGCCGGAGTACATTCGTGAAGGAGCGAGGGTCTTCTTCAGAGAAGGCCACACTAAGGGCGTTGGACAAGTGCAAAGTGTGATTTACCATAACGCAGTCCCTGGTAGATAGCCGAGCGAGCTGGTAACTCAGTACGTGGCCAAGGGGACAGGGATGAATACAACGATTCTTCTACAAGAATGAAGACGGGAGTGATGAAAGTATGCCTGAAATGTCGGCCAAGTGTAAAAAGTAAAATACTTCAATTTTGACACTCTCACAAAAGCTGAACACGCCTTCGCACCTAATAGGAAGGATGGAGATTCTATTTTAAGGAGGGAGGATTGGAGATTGACAGAATAGTGGAAGTTGTGGAGATTAATATAACAAAACGTTCGAGGGAGGTAAAGGGAGGATCAAGCGGTACCCTGTTCGAGGCGTTCAGTTTGTGGGGGCAACGCAAAGAGATGTGAGCAGGAATAACCGCTCTCTGACTTCGCCCTGTAATCCACTAACTGATCGCCTGAAACAGGCAAAGTCAAGGCTGTTGGGCAAACATGCAGAGCTGGAAGTGATTACAGAACTAACATCGATGAATAAGGCTGAACAAATCTTCCCCTGCAAAATAACGAAGTTGGGATTGGAAGGAATGCTTGCTCTATGCGAGAGAAGAGATGAGTAACCAAGTCTGTTAACCACTAACAAAGTTCTGATACTTCCAGGAAGCAGAACGTGCCATTACATGCCCGAGCGAGGGAACGTATTTCGAAGATGTTGGGAGGAGGTGATAGTGGACGAAATTTCATCTTACGAGGAATGAACAAGTTCTCAAGCGAGACGCAATGTTTTGTTCAACCGAGATAACCTGGCATCTCATTTGCCAACTTTAAACAGCCAGATAGTTCTGTGTTGGTGTGAGGTTTGTTAGGGAGTGGCTGTCGGGCAAACAGTTTCAAAATTGTGACGTCTACAGTGTAGACAGTGTATGAGTGCAAGTTCTTAATTTGGTGCGAATCATAAAGTCTCGCATGCAGCAAATAAACTCACTGTTGGTGGGTTAAATTAGGGAAAATGAAGGACCTATTTAATGACAAGGCGCCTGGAACTCGTGGTAGTCTAATTTTACGGTAATGAAGGTTATAAGTTTTACAAGCGTGGAAATGGTCATTGTTCAGTTTCTCGTATTTTCACCACGGTTTACTGCAACTTTACAATGGGAAGATTTATCTGTAAATATGTAAACATACTTTTAAAATGTGTTGCAAACTAAGTGTGACATAAGTCCTTCTTAAGGTCTCCTTTTAAGGTCATTTCTCGGGCATTTTACTCAAGTCCCAAGTGGGAAATTTTTAGCGCTACGCGCACTGAATGTGTGTATTTTTACTGGAAACTGTATTCTAAAAAGTGAATACTGATTTTCTTTCAATTGTCTCTCTGTTAGTTGCCTTCGACGCCCAGTTGGACACCCCTCTGTATTTTGGACTGGTCCCAAATAGAATCTAAACTTTCACACAATCCCTACCTCTACAATACGCGGGGCTCATCTTGAAAATGGGAGAAAAATCCCTGGAGACGAGGTCAATAGTGAGGCTTAAAGGGTTAATGAAGACAGTTGGGTTACTTTGAAGACAGGAGAGACAGAGGCGAGAGTAAGGATATGTTTAGTTTACAGGCGTTCCTTCCCCCTTTTTTTGCCCTGTTCTCTCCTCCGTGCACACTCTCAGACCCGTGAGTAATTGCGCTAAAATAGTGAGTTTATTGGAGGTGTAAATGTGGAGCGTAACTGAAATACTAATTGCCCTGGAGTTTTTCAGTATCATTTCTTTTGTACTGGCCTTGTACAGCTGGTAGAAAACACATACAAGACAAGTCAGGTAACAAAATGATGCACCTTTTTGAGGCCGCATTACGAACGGAGTGGGAACCAAAGACAAATTCAAATGTCCCGTAAACCAGATGAATTGCTTTGCCGTGCCTATGAAATGCTATTAGTGGCCTAACATAGGTTTTGGACTCAGTTGGTCACAAAGCCAAACGAAAAGCGCATAAAAAGGTTCTTTTTAGAGTATCTCGGGATGCAGTTCCATCTCGGACCAAACAACTGACGCATTTATCTTCAATCTTTTTTTTGGTTTAACAACGACAACAAAACACAGCGCCTGTTGTGACACGGTCAAATGTCCCGAGAGTCTTCTTTACGAAGAGAAGGCTTCCTGAAGTAAAAGGCATAAACGTTAGATTAGTGAGCTTTTTACTACAAAAAGTCGCACTGTGGGAGACTAGTCAAGGGGAAGAAAATATTTCCTTTTGAGAACCTTTTATGATATACTTAAATCGGCTCCTATTTAAAAAATTAAGCCAAGTTCATTAATTTACGGCTCTGATTTGGCCCCACTTTGCACCTCTGTTAAATTAAAGCCGAACAATATCAAAGAAACATACTTCTCCTGAGTACCTAGCACTCCTAATGAGGCATTAAATAGCTATAGCTTTATGTTATAACGTCTGGATAAAGCATGGAGTATTTTTGCTGCATGAGTTTATTTCACCTGCTTGGTAGTTGTCACTGGCTGAGTCCAAAGACCTCGTAATCTGTAACAGTGAAATTTTTGGCACCTGTGAAGAACGTGCTCTGCTGTCCTGGTGGAAGCTGATAGGTGTGGCCGAGTTGGCTGTTACTATGAGGACTTTCGTCCGCATTGTTTGATATCACCAGGTCGTTCCCAATGCCAAACACTGGTCCAAGGGTGCTAATACAAACGATGCCATTTGGGTCGATCCCTGAGATAAGCGGCAGTTTGGTCGGTCCCAGGCCACTTGGGTTTACAAAGCTGAACAGGAAGGCATGGCGGCATGACACCGATTCACAACGACCTGTGAATAACAGTGATTACACCTGACATATATATTCAGACATTACGTGTGTTAAACAGTCATTTTCACATTTAAAATTCAACGTTCTTTAAATCTAAACCTTTCAAACATTTTCTGCCCCATTCAACTTCTTTGATCCTGAACCTATATTGGGCTCGGTTACCCACACAGATAACTAACCAGACCTGCTCCTTTGCATAGAATACGAAATTTCGGCCTGAGACCATCGACAATATCTTTTCTACTGAAAAGTTTTCCCCTGAGAAACGTAAAAATAAGTTTAAGCCACCTATAAAGAATTTACCAATATCCTGCTCATGGACTTATCCTGGTTTAATGAGTATGATCTGTGGTAATCCTTTGCACTGGTGTTTGTTAGTTAGTGTGGCTTAGGTATCCAAGTATGAGCCTTCAGAATAATGGGGAAAGGAAATTAACAAGGGTGCCACAGGCTTTACGACATGCATAAAACTGGAATTGAAGTTCTCAACCTTTCATCAGGAGCTAGTTCCTCGATAAAGCTAATTTGTATTTTACATATATCAAGTATGTTATATTTACTTGTCCAAGCGTTCTCACTGAAGCCTCCAAAAATGTTTCCACCACTTTTTACAACAGTGATTGTAGGTCCTTTGTTATCGCATTTGGAATGAAACGCTGAAGCAGCAAAGCCATCTCGTGAAGCTCGAAATAGCAAGCGCCATTCGCCTTTCATAGCCTCAGGCAACCAACTTTTCATGACTCTTCGATGCTCTTCGTTCGTCAGTATCACCGTCTCCTCGAACACTTTCGGTTCTTTAGGCTTCAGTTCATCCAATATCCCTTGCAGCTGATAAAACTTAGCTTCTGCTTCGAGTTCCTTGAGGAATGTAGCACCCTCTGGTAAAATCAGCTCGCCATTACGAAGATAATTTAGTATAAACCGGAAGTAAGTTCCATCTCGGTCGATAAAGAAAGAACCATCTTCAGAAGGTTTCATCTCAAACTTCCCAGAAAACATGGCGGCTAACATGGAGTTGGGATCTTTTTTCAGCGTCTGCACACTTGTGGTAAAGTATTGACCACCAACGTTGAGTTTAACAGTCGATGAGAAGTGAACCTGGTCTAGTTTCTTCGACATCGCATCGATGGACTCTTGCTCATGACGAACTCTGGTCGCTTCTCGTTGTATTATTTCGCAACCTTTCTTGATGTAGTTTTCAGTGTCTATGAGGGCTTGATTTCCTTGTTGATTATCAGGATTTGTATTGCTCATGATTTTCGTAATTAAATTAACGAACCTTAACTGCTTTCTCAGTACAAAGTACAGTCGAACCTTCCGTAAGCGACCACCCACAATTCAAAGACTGAGTGGTCGCTTACGGGAGGTGTTCGCTTACAAGAATCGAAGCCCGGGGGTCTCTTCCGAGAAGAGGTGCAGACAAAATTTCATTCTTCTTGACTAATCGGTAGCAGACATTGCAAAGCAACCAGATGTGTAAAAAATCATCTTAATCTTACCTCTGTGTTATTGCATTTGCTTGTTGAATTTCCACTATTGCAGTAAATTGATTTAAATGATGTTGTTCAGTTTGTGAAAGCTTCATTGTGATTAGTGCAGATTTAAAGTTATCAAACCTCTGTCTGAGTCACTTTTTGAGTGCTAAGGTGTCCCCTGAATGGAGGATGAATGTGGGTTACCCAGAAATAGTGTCCGATCCCTTTTCTCTTAATAGAGGTGTCCCTTGAATGGAGGTACTGAGAAACACAGATTATGTGAACATTTTTCTAGTCCCTTGAATACAGGTGCCCCAAAGGAGAGGTTCCACTGTACTTTATTACGTCTTTATTGGCAACAGCTGAAAGTGAAACTGGGAATGACCGTAGTAAGCACAATTCAAGTTTGACTTGTCTGTTGACTGCGTCTTTATTGACATATATAAACGATATGTATGCACTGGAAGGCCCTGTATGAATTAGATTATGGACCTGGCTACAAGGTACGAAGGAACACGATAAACGTTAAAGCAAAACCAGCTAGCAGTCTGTCATATTTGTCGCGAGTGGGAAGGTGAGAGTGTCGCGTGAGTGCCTAGTCAGGGCCAGCCGACGACTGTTCCCTTCCTAAATACATTGAAAACACTTTTTAGGCTATCCAAAGTAATTCTAGATCTCTATAGAAATGCATTCTAAGCGGTGCTTTGAAATTTGTATCCGTTCGGTCATCTTAGGGCAACTTGGAGTATTTTCAGTCTTATTTTCCCAAAAAATTTAGATGCAATTTAACGCTTCACAAAGGTGAAAATTTTCCTAATTCCTTTCTCCATCACATTCTCGAATCCGAAGATCCAAGGTTTCTTTTTCTACGAAATATAGCTTAACTTGGGGAGGTAAATGTGAAAAATTAAACTTCAGAAATCGTAGGGAATTCATTGCATATATATCGCTTTGAAAATCGTACATCATATCAGTTGAACGGTCATCTAGACAAGCTATAAAAACTTCTAGGGAGTGGTTATCTACTTCTTCGAACAGATATTTTACAGAAAACAGTCTTTGGGTATCCCTGATTAGTGCCTTTTGTCTTAACAAAAGTACACTACCTGCCCCACTCAAGTCTTATTTTCAAATTAGCCTTTAATGCGCCCTTGAAATTGAAAAAAAACTCTTAAATTTACTTTAAGAGTTTTACATGTTTTTCTTTCATTTAATAAGTCTTGGTGATTACGTTCCCCAGAATATGCACCACACAGTAACCTTTGTTGGTTACATTCTCTTTGGTCTTGTTGTGGTCACCATGTTATTTAGTGCCATGGAAGACAAGATTGCACAATGGTTTAACAATATAAAGCAAATTGTTGGATTGGTTGAACATCACAATGATGCGAAGAAAAAACTATAACGAACCGTGCCATCTGTGCTTGCATCGTTTTAAAACCAGTGCATTATTAAACGAGGTTATATACACGCCTCCAGTCAATTTAAGACTGGTTTTCACGGAACAACTCCAGAACAATTGATTCTGAGAAAACAACTGATAGCCTGAATAGCTGGTGGAATCAGAGTGCGAGAGCGCTATGCATAGCGAGCAGACAGAAAAAGGGCAGGATTTCAACATAACTTATTCTTTTTACGGCTTAGCCCGAGAAAACAGCCGACATTTTGCGACTCTACCACTAGTTTTTCCTCGAAATAGCGTCTGAGAAACGAACGCAGAAATACCATGCTGACGACGTGCCACTACCTAGAGCTGGGTAGTACTTCCGATACTTCAACCAATCAAAAGCACTATCCAGATATGTGTAGAGTAACGTCATCGGTATAGAATCCCTGCGCTCGTTCCTCAGACATCATTTCGCGGGAAAACCAGTAGTGGCTTGGTTGCTACACAGCCGTTTTTAGTGTCGTCACGCAACGCTCCTCCCCACTAGTTGGGCAGATTTTAAGCCTATTGGCCTTTTCGCAAATGATCACAGTGCACTTTGAAAGGAAAACAACCACAACTTTTTTTACTAGAATGACGAAATTCTCCTTCTATCACGTCTTCTTTTGGAACTTTTTCTTATTAGATTTCTTCTCCTGTCCACCTAATATCTGCAAAGCTCGTGGATCACGTAAGTTAAGTCCAAGTCTTTGTGCCTCAAGTGCTTTGAGTTTTGCTTGCTCTTTTTCTTCTTTTCGTTTTGCCCTGAGCTCATGCATCCTTTTACGATAATCCTCAATAATTTTCGGCATGTTCTTCATGTTCTCCTCAATCTTCGCCAGCCTGAAATGTTGTCAGCACAAAGGTCCATATTAGAGCCTCTGCATTAGGTAGGGAAAATGGAAGGGGGGGGGGGGGGGNACAAGGGGGGGACAGCCCCACCCCACAAAGTCCCCCCCCCCCCTTTAGAGAAAAACAGCCACCCCCCCCTCCCCCCCCCCCCCCCCGAAATCCCCTCATCGCCTCTTCGGGGACCATCAAAGACCACACTCGGGGGATAGCGAGAATTAAGCCTAAGCACAGACTAGGTGTGTGGGGTACTGCCAGCCTCTGTGAATCTGGGGTAGAGTTTCCAAGCAGCTTTAGCCTGCAGGCATAATTCTTGAGTGGGTGAGAGCTGCTTGTTTATGTTGATAATGAGTGGCTGCATTTTTTATTTTGTCACCAAGAAGGATTACACCATCTCTTTGACTTGCCCAAACTACTTTTTTTTGAATTTAACATGACAGTTATTTGCACACCCAAAGAAAGCACCTGAAATGCAGGCTAAAGGAAGTTAGGGTATAGTAATTATGGCAAATGGCAAGAAGCTAATTTACTTTTGATGTTCAGCTACGTTAAGTCCATCTGTTTTTAAAGTTTGGAATGAAAACTTGGGTCAAACCACCAAGGTAAAATAGCGTAGAGGATAGTCTGGCTGAACTTTTCACTCCTAAGACGGCCACAAGTCTCAATTTTTACTTTACAGATAAATAGTATCGCATGAAAGTAGTAACTACCGAAGAAGTTTCATTTGAATGGTTATACGTGTACCATAGGATTTCACCCGTAGACTCTAAAGCCAAAACAATGAAAGTGCATAAAACACTCAAGTGGCACCAAGCTAGAAACTAAAAGGTACTGCTGAAGAGGTTTCATTTGAATGGTCACATGTCTTAGTTTTGTACAGATTCAAAAGTGAGAACTACACCATAGGTTTTGATGATAAGCTCCGGGAGTGACAGGAATACAGGCTTTATATGTAAAATGACAAAATTCTCACACACCTTTCTTCCTTCCTTTTCTCGTACTTATGTCCTTTCGGCATCCTGTCCAGACCCCTATCCACCATGGGTTTCTCAGGCCAGTAAAAACCTTTAGCTATATATTGTTTCCTCAAATCTGCCAATCTTCTAGCACTGATCTTGGGCTTATGCCATTTATCTCCAACCTTCTGTGGTTTAGACTTCCGAAGGATTTCTGCAACTTCAGGGTGGACTGGAGGCAATACATTGTCAAATTAAGGCACAGCAATGAGGAAAATTTTTGCCATAGAAATGAGAGATCTATTATCATTTTGTTATGATCATCTGTCTTGTTACATTCGACTTATGGGTGTGGCAAATCATAGCACTGAACTAAAGACCTTTCAAGGCTTTAAAATTGTCTTATGTCTTGGAAATTGCGGGCCTTGAATTGTCTTATGGCCTGACCAATAAAGGGGGATTGAATCCACAAATGGTGATGTCTCTTCTTTTACTATGCAAACCTTTTCCACACCATAAAAATAAAGTTGTAGAAACTTAGTTGCAACTTCAACTCATTCATTTCAACTCTTTTACAGCCAAACAGGGAAAACCATGAACACTAGAAATATTTATGGAATGTAATTGTGTTACAAGAAAACTAGACTGCAAGCTAGAATGTTAATTAGTTTGTGGTTTTGTGGCTAGTTTGCATGTTCTCGTCTTTGCTGTGATTGGTCATAACACAATAAACATTCCTGAAGTATTTCAAGTGTTCACAGTTTTTCTGGTTGTACTGTAAGTATTATCTCTAGTTCCTATTTCTAATAATTTGATAATCATTACTATCAATGAAAAACACATGGTCACTCATGATTTTCTTTAAAGATCTCAGTAGTATTTCCCCATGAAATGACGTCTGAGGAACGAGCACAGAAATTCATACTTATCATGTATCACAACCCAGATCTGGATAGTGCTCCTGATTGGACGTACAATATAGCAATCTAGGTAATGGAGTCATCAGTATGGAATTTCCGCACTCATTCCTCAGATTTCATCTTGTAGGCAAACCAGTGGTGGCATTGTCGTGAAATGATGGCTATTCCCTCAGGCTAATTCTGTAAGTTATCATCTCCCAAAGGTGATCATGTGATCTTGGGATTTCAGGTGCTCGCATACAAGAGGCTTAACTGTATATGGAGCAACTGTCTTTAAGGGAATTTTAAAGAAAATCTCTCATGAATGAACAATATTTTTTCACATCCTTACCTTCTTTAGTTTCTTCAATGACCGGAGTTCCCATCCCTTTTCTTTGAAGCATATGTGGTAATGTAGGATCAGGGCTTTCTTTTGCAGAACATGTTGTTTCATTATACTCTGTTGCTTCAGTGGATTCTGGTGTCTCTTTAAACTCTGCTGCAGTGCTGCATAGATACCTAAAGAATATTATCAAAAAGACTGGTCAGTGAATTGTAGATTGAAATCACAGAACCTTCTCGTCTTTGAAAAATATCACCCCCAAAAACTTAACCAGAATGATGCCTAAAAGATAATATTTAGTACCATAGCAAAGAAAGTTATGAAAGTGATGGATGCAATGACACTGTAGCACAATCTGCTGGCACCGAATACATATAAAACCTTGTTTGTAGAGAAACAATTCAAAATATATTAATATGTGTATTCTTCTATTAGTGATTTTTCCTTTGGGGTCCCCCTTCACTTCTGGGTCTCCCTAAAAATCCCAACACCCCTTGGACAGAAACCCTCACTCAAAAAAAGGTGACAGGTATCAAAAGGCCACGACTAAAAACGGGTGTTGAATGGTCTGAAATAGGGTCAGGATTTAGGTCGCACAACCCCGACCCTGACAAGAATTCCTAAGAGTCAACACCATAGCCCCCCCCCCCCACCCCACTCTGGGGGGGGGGATCTTGCTGTTATGAGTACTGGATGTACATCGTACATGCATCTCTGGTTATTTCCTTTCAAAGGTTTACATTTAGAACATTTCTCCACTCCACATTTGCATCACGATGTTGTCACGGGAGAGAGCTTACTGTACAATTTTAGTGATAAAATGGGGTACTGACTTGAGCAGTGCGGCTCATCCTCGGTGTAAGAACCTTTTTAACTCACCGGTGACGTAAAGCAAAGAAAACAAAGAAGTCAACACGATAAAACCTAGAAAAACAAGAGGTAAAAAACAAAGAAAAAGTTCACAGGTTCTTACACCGAGGTAACCCAGCAATGCGGTGTGGGTCAGGACAGGTTAGGGTGAGTCCTGTCTTCCAGAGCTTTAGTGTTTTGCATTTATCATTNCTAAAAACAGGTGTTGAAAATAAAATTTCTTGGTCTGAAATAGGGTCAGGATTTAGGCCGCACAACCCCAACAAGAATTCCCAAGAGTCACCCCCCCACCCCACACCGGGGGGGATCTTGCTGTTATGAGTACTGGACGTACATTGTACATGCATCTCTAGTTATTTCCTTTCAAAGGTTTACATTTGGAACCTTTCTCCACTCCGCATTTGCATCACGATGTTGTCACGGGAGAGAGCTTACTGTACAATTTTAGTGATAAAATGGGGTACTGACTTGAGCAGTGCGGCTTATCCTTGGTGTAAGAACCTTTTAAACTCACCGGTGACGTAAAGCAAAGAAAACAAAGAAGTCAACACAATAAAACCTTGGGAAACAAGAGGTAAAAAACAAAGAAAAAGTTCACAGGTTCTTACACCGAGGTAACCCAGCAATGCGGTGTGGGTCAGGACAGGTTAGGGTGAGTCCTGTCTTCCAGAGCTTTAGTGTTTTGCATTTATCATTTATAACTTGACCTACCTCTGTGCGAGTAATCGCCCAAACAAGAATCTCTGGGTGAGAGAAACAGGTGCAAATGATCCCCAAAGTCTGCTACAATTTCTACACATAAATGCCGCCATTTTGGCCGCCATCTTGGAAAAGGCTTTGATCACGTGAACCGTTTTGCCGAAAATGGAAAACAATTCCTTATAAGGAGCACACCTCTTATCTGTCGTTGACCAAAAATTATTTGGTAGTTGATATGGCGGAGGGCGAGTTGAATGTGGATAGTATAATATCCCGCTTGTTAGAAGGTTAGGAGACTAAAAACTCTACCTTACTTCATTCAGTTAGCATTGTATAGACTTGATCTAAGCATTACCTTCTTTTCTGCAGCTCGCGGTAGGCCAGGAAAGAGTGTACAACTAGCAGAATCGGAAGTTCGCGGGTTATGCTTGAAATCAAGAGAAATCTTTTTGAACCAACCCATCCTGCTGGAATTAGAGGCTCCTCTTAAAATCTGTGGTAAGCTTGCTTGTGTTATGCACAAATCCTTTCACTGTGTTCTCATTCGATCACAGTAGTTCTCTCATTTGTGAACCGAGTCTTCATTTTGCGAGGAATGCAGAGCAGAGTAAGCTTACAAAGCTTCTCGCGGCTTAGATTTGTCCTCACTCGTCTTACTAGCGCCGGCCGGCTTGAAAAACGCTATATATTCCTGAAAATTAGAGGCTTAAATCTCAATCAGATTTTTTTCGTATCTGTTTCTCGCATTTTGGCATGTGGCACTAAGCAAATAGCGATCTCCTTGTGTTTGGTATTTCAGGATTGGAGTGACCTAGCCTTTTCCGTCAATTTGCGGTAAATCATGAGCACCAAAATTTACAACCAAAAGTTCTAATATGTTCAAAATAAGTAGTTTTAGACTATAGTTTTCTGAGTTATCTAATCATAAAGGCATTAGTATAAAAAATCTTGAGGCTAAAGGAGAATTGTAAAATGTGTTGAGTAATATGCATGACTGCCTCTGTTGTTTTTGGACCTGATAGATAGTATCCTAGTGCTGTTTGGAAAAACAGACTCGAAACAAGTAAACAGGCTTGCTCACGTCTTATTAGAAAGAAAAGAATATCTGACATCTAAGTTGAAATGAAGTAATTTGTAAAATTTCTCTTATTTCCATGAGCTTTACTCCATGTACTCTTTTATGTCTGTTGTCGTTAATTAAGACTAATTTTTCGAGGGAGTTCCCTATTTCAAGTTTATTTTCTTAGACCTCTCTCACTTCATACCCATAGTTATGTTAGGTTTCGTTGATTCCTATGGGGTATGAACTAGATTTTTCCTGTTTACGCACTGTTTA